TGTCCGCAGTCTCTGGTCATCCCTGTACTGTGTCCGCAGTCTCTGGTCATCCCTGTACTGTTAATTAGTTTGCACTACTGTACGAGTTGTTTTTTCTAAACCAAAAGCTCGATATTCAGGTTTCATTGCAGTGTTGGCACTTTTAAAGAAATAAATTGGTTTTGGGTTGCAGTTTGGGCACTCGGGCTCAAAAAGGTTCGCCATCACTGGTATAGAGTACCAAAATGTCCATAAGGACTTTAAAGGTAAGAATGTTTTAAAGGGGGAAAGAAAGTGACAGCATAAGAGAAAGGAAAAAGAAAACGGAAAAACAGAAAAAGGAATAAGAAGGATAAGCTGTCTGCATGCATGCAGGGGTGCAGACAGGGGTGGATTGACAACTCATGGGGCCCCCAGGCAATAGGGGATTATGGGGCCCCTGTGTCCTTGCCCAAACTCAAAAAAAGCCTATGAAAAAGGTACCAGGGGCATCTCATGGGGCCCCCTACTGACCCCGGGCCCTCGGGCAGTGCCCGAGTTTCCGAATGGTCAGTCCACCCCTGGGTGCAGACAGTGTTGGGAGGCTGTAAGCTCCTTGAGGGCAGGGACTGATACAAACTTACAATGTAAAGGGCTGACCTCTTGCTTCAATCTAAGGTTCCTAGCTCACATACATACACATAGGGGTTTATTTCCTAAAGCTGGAGAGTCCAAAATCAGACTCCCTTCTGCATAGAAACCAATCAGCTTCTAAGCTCAGCTTGTTCAATGAAGCTTTGGCAATGAAACCTGGAAGCTGATTGGTTTCTATACAGAAGGGAGTCTGATTTTGGACTCTCCAGCTTTAGTAAATAAACCCCATAGTGTCTTTCTTGGAGTGTGGAAGGAAACTTGAGCACCCAGAGGAAACTCTGTGCAGTTAGTGTCCTGACTGGGATTTGGACTGAGGACCCTAGGGCTGCTCCAATCAGAAGTGCTCACCACTAAGTCACTGTGTTCTCCACCCTACCCTGTGTTTGACCTCTGATAATTAGAGAAACAATTTTTTCCAATTTCTATCCAAGGTCAGTTGGGTGAATAGTTGCATCAATGCATCCAGTTTGCATTGTAAGAGGTTCTACCAGGAATTGTAGGCAAATCCTTATGGCAAAGCAAATTTAGAAGGTGATACACTTTAGACTAGAAGGATGTGGCAAATGGACACATCCATCAGATGCATAACAGAAGGTCTGTTTTTCAACAGTAGATGCTCTAATAGCTTCTGTGTAACACAGCAACTCCTGGCTGTCATTTGACAGGCAGGAAATACAGGCAAATGAGGTGGAGGGGGAGAGCAGCAGAAGAGAAGGATAGAGAATGTGCTATGCATATCCTGTATATTTGATGAAGATTGCATTGCAAGTCAAATGTCCACAACTGGTTAAATCATTTTTGGAGATTAAAAGCACCATAAGAAAGCCTTGTTTTTCCACTACAAGAAACAATATAGGTATTACTTTCGTGTCATAATAACTGACAAAGTTAGTACCAAATACATAGGCATTAAGCTGGAATGTAAAAATGGCTCTGGAGCTTAGCTGGTTATTGGTAACTGGTTGAATTGTGTTTGTTTGCTGTTTTAGTAGATTTGTCAGATTAAAATATATTTATAGAAAAGTAAGTGATGCATGGTGACTGTCATGCAATGAATGATGCCTTGGGTTGTTTACTTCATAGTACTAATAATAATTTGCTTTAAATATGTCTTTTCAGGTACAAAAGCAAACATAAATGTCTGAAAGAAGAATGTTAGAAAAAACACAGCTTTTAATAATGAATAAGTTACATTTATTGTTGCTAATAAAATGCTAATATTCCACTTCCACTTCACTTCTTGTTGGATTAGTGATTTCTGAGTGTATAATTCTAGCCAACAGAAAAAAAACCAAAATGAATAATGTTGAGATGTGTTGCTTACATTTAAAAGAGAGAAATATCAAGTTGATATAACCCAATATTAGGTAAGTATACTATTGTTTTTCTTTTGATACTGTAAAAAACTCAAAGGAAAATTAATTATATATATAAAAAACACAAAGTACTTGAGTTACTTGAACTCCCAAGCATTATATATATTTTTTTAAGCTGAGGCCCTAGACATTATAATGATGGGTTTTGCAATTTTTATGTCTTACGGTATTTGCACAGTGATTTTTTTAATCACAATTTCCTTTGGAAAAAATACACTTTAACAAATTTAAATGTACAAAAATACAGTATTATATCCAATTATTTAGTAAAATATAAAAGATGTTGTGCTTAGTATATAGATACCTAATGGAATAACTCCTAACCATAGTACTTAAAAATGTCCACAGGGCGATGCTTTATAGGCCTTTATAGGTTATCAGTTTAGAGTTACACGGGAGGTCTGTCACTAGAATTCTTGTTCTCACTTTGATATTCACGGTAATACCTCACACGTGTGGTGCATTTGCTGTCTACATACTGATGAAGGACATATGGGAGCATTCGCCTTGTGATAGCTTGGGCAGTGACAGGTTCTCTTTATGGAGAGATATGGGGTCTGTTAGACCCCTTATATCTCTCCACTGCCCTTAAAAGAATCTCATCAAACCACGATCGATTTTATCAGATGCTTTTTACAAGCCTAACATGGCTTGTTTATATGCTTATACCATAGAGATGATCAGGGAAGATCTGGTCCCCGGTCATCTTTATGGTAAGCTGGTGGAACTGCTAGCTTCAGTACCGGGCTTCCATGTGGGAAGGGAGTGACCAAAGAGGCACCAGAGGGCGATAGGAGGGGGGGGGGGCTTCATGTTGTCTAGGGAGGCTGCTCATCATATTTATGGCACAATACTGGGGGGGGATAGCCTGGCCTTGTCACTACCAGGAAGTATTATATCTTTCAGTTTACAACAATACTATCTTTCTGTTTGGAACAATGTGGGTTTTTGGTATCCCTAACCCTTTCCCTAACTCTGTCTTTCCAGATAAAAAAAAATACAATACTATATTATACTATGCTGAAAGAGGAACAATGAATTCATAGCAGTGTATACCAGCATCGCATTTAATGTATAAAGAGTATACAGAAAACCAATTTGTGGGACTTTAGGCACACATACACTATAAGTACATATATAGATTAAAATATACTTTTATTAATATCTAGGCCTGAATAATCCATTAAGGTCAAGGAGACAATTGTATAGGACCTGGGTGGTATGGAGATTAGATAAAGGAGTGAAATTTTTTTGGATATCCTCATTTTTCCCCCTGGATAGAAGTGAATCTAAGTTGGAAGTGTTATTAAGAAACCCACACTGAAATTTCAAACAAAGATCTGAACATTGGACTTTTTCTGAGAGAAACCTAGGCCTGTGTTTTAAAAGAAGATTTTAAGGGGGAAACAACACACCTGTGATTAAGTCAAGGACTGACCACAATCTATCTTGTTTGATGATTACACCAACCTGAACAATTAAGCATAGTAATTAATCCAGATGGAATCCCTAGGCAAATTGTGAGGCCCCTAGAGACCTTTGTAAGGTACTTAGAAAGGATGCCTTGGGTGTTGAGAGATTTTTCTTCTACCTTCCCTATCTTCCTCACAGTCTCCATTTCATCAGACATTTGGAAACATTTAATCTTGGATATTTCTGTTTTGAATGAATACTGGGCGATCTATACATCCTTTACTCGTGTTCTCCTAAAGTGGACTTTAGTTTGCGAAATGTGTTGTAAAGTTTTCGTCCACCTGGTGGGCTACATTCAAGAGAAATCCTTATCTACCTGGTGGACCATTGTCAACTATTGAGAATCTAAGTATTGATAGATTATATTAAATACATAGATTATAGGCAATATTTAAGGATGTAAAATATAATCACAGATTTTTTTTCAAATACTTTTAATAATAATTCAAGTCTACATATTAATAACAGGATATTTTAATCTATATATGTACTTGTAGTGTATGTGTACCTTAAATGTCCTGGAAATTGGTTCTCTGTACACTCTGAGCAAAAAAAAAAAATCTAAAGGAATTGGTGTCTTGAAGTCATTGATAATACTGTATATGATAGTATACTACTGACCATAAGCTTACTATCTACAGCACTCAATTTCACTGGAGGCCTTTTTTAGCTTCTAATGCTCTACGTGCCTAACACATATATAGACCATCTTTCTTTTTCTTACAGAGAACCTATACCACAATGGAGACGTTAAATGGTACCGTGGTGGTCTATTTCATTATTAAGGGGATTTCTGACTCTTCACAATTTCAGGTTTTAATCTTCCTTTTGGTTTTGTTCCTTTATCTGATGACATTTGGAGGCAACATGGCAATTATTCTCCTTGTGTGCCTGGATCACCATCTTCAGTCTCCAATGTACTTCTTCCTGAGTAACCTGTCAATTTTGGACATATTTTCCTCTACGATTACTCTACACAAAATCCTCATCACATTTGTGACTGGCAATAGTTCTATTTCATACGCTGCCTGTATAACACAAATGTATTTTTTTTTGGATCCTTAACTTGTGATGAATTGTTGATCTTGACTGCAATGAGTTATGACCGCTATGTAGCCATTTGTAATCCACTGAGGTATACATTGGTCATGAACTGGACAGTTTGTTCTCTTTTGGCCACTGCTTGCTGGGTGCTGGGTTTCCTCGAAATTGCGCCCTTATCTGGGTTACTGATGGGTTTCAACTGCTACAGCTCTAATGTAATCAATCACTTCTTCTGTGACCCCATACAAGTCATGAAGCTCTCCTGCAGTGACACTTCTGTTTTTAATGTTGTGCTTATAACTGAAACATCAGTACTTTTGTTTCCTGTGCCTTTTCTCCTGAAATGTACATCTTATGTCTTCATTATTATGACAATATTGAGGATCTCCTCAAGTGCAGGACGGCGGAAAGCCTTCAGCACTTGTTCTTCTCATCTCACGGTTGTCCTCTTATTATACATGACTCTTTCATATCAATATTTGTTTCATGCCCTAGTGGACAGTGTAGATTATACTAAATTATTCTCCCTTTTTAACACAGCTCTTCTCCCTATACTAAATCCACTGATCTACAGCTTCAAAAACAAAGATGTTAAGTCAGCTTTTAAAAGGCAGCTAAGATACCTTGAATATTTTCACGCGCATACCATATGTAAACAGAAGTCCGACTCCACATTTAACTGAAATTAAACCTGTTATCATTTTCACATGCCTTAAAGTTAAAGGCTCCTAGATGACAATACAAACAAACATGAAATACAGCCACTACATGATTCACAAGCCTCATAAAATAGACTTAAAACTTACCTTATGTCTACTAATTGAGCCTAATCTGCCTTAATTTTTATGTCACATGCTCCCCCTCCCAGACACTGCAGCCTACAGTAGGAGCCTTTCAGCAACAGAGGACATACTGTGATTAAACAAAGCAAAACTAGGGGTGGCCCGGTGCTGATTGGCTAGCTACATGCTTGCAAATCAGCAGTGACAATACTGATTGCTATGCTCCCTGCAAGATTTTTTTCATCCCATTGTAGTGGGATGATGCAAGCAGGCAAAGCCTACATGAAAAGAACAACTATGATCTGAATTCAAGAGCAGTGCAGCATTGTTGTCACACACCACCACAGGAAAGTAGCAGTAGGTAGATGTCACTGACAGGATCAACAGGTATTTATGGGAAATTGCAGGGGGACAAAGAGGAAACTGTAAGAGCAGATACACTTATAATTTAGTGCTGCAGCAGTTTTTTTAATGGGAGGCCAGAATTCTATGTTAAAAACAGGATTTAGTTGTTTTTTCTTTTACATTATATGGTTCCCAGACACATTTTCATGACTTGAGATGGATTATCTATTACACAGCAAGATGTTACATCTTTTTTCTGGAACACTTTGCATCCCAAAATTGTCATTTGTCATGCCATTAATTAATTTTACATGATTGACATTCAAAATAACCAAATTATCCAGATCTTAAAGGAAAATGATAAAGGTTTAATGTTAAAGAATAAGTACACCTTTAAAAAAAAAAAATACTTGCGCATTTATTATTTTTTCCTACAGGAGCTTGCAAAGCATTGCACCCATGATCAGTATAGAAGGGGAGAAATGTCAGGCTCCTGCACATCTCTCTCCAGCTTTATACTCATACCTCTGTATGGGCTTTCAGTTAGAAAGCTAGAGGAAGAATGGATAGACATGCTGATCAGCATATTTGAGTTAATTAAGAACTACAAGCTGTCTGCCACGGTGGCAGATGGGACTTGTTTACTTCCCTGCACAGCACACCAATTTTAAATGTGACATTGGCTGCAGGGAAGAGGAACCCATGCCCCTCTGTCATAGGGAAGAGGGAGTGAGGGGGGTGCTGGAACATGTTACACCCCAAATATGGTTATAACATGTATGGCCCCTTTCACATGGGGGAGCTCCGTTTAGATCAGTTGGGGATCTGTCTGCTAATCCCCTGCTAGTCAGAGCAGATTGGAAGAATGACACGTCTGTGTTCGCTCAGTTTATGCAGAGGCAGACATGGACAGAGCCCACTCTACTCTATGGGTGGTCGGGTGTAAACAGACATCCAAGTCTGCCCTCCTATCTGATCCACCTAAACAGAGGAGGACAGATCCCCTTCAGTTTTTTTATGTAGTGGTCCATATCGGATTGGAGGTGGGAGGGTGTAAACGGACACATGTGAAATGAACCTAACACGTCCTAAAGGGGAACTTATCCTTAATTTATTTTTTATGGTACTCCAAACACATCTCACAAATGTAGCATGTGTGAAGCCACCACAGTACCATGCAAACATACCATGAAGTTTGGTGCGATGTGATCTGAAAAAGCAACCTTGGCACTACTACACTGTGTGCACAATTATTAGGCAAGTGAGTATTTTGACCAAATCATCATTTGTATGCATATTGTCCAGCTCCAAGCTGTATAAACTTGATTGCTTATTGGATTTAAGCATATCAGGTGATGTGTATTTGTGTAATGAGGAAGGGTGTGGCCTAATGAAATCAACACCCTATATAAAAGGTGTGTATAGTTATTAGGCAGTTTCTTTTCCTCAGGCAAAATGGGCCAAAAAATATATTTAAATGACTCTGAAAGGTCAAAAATTGTAAAAAGTGGTTCAGGGGGATGCAGCACTCTTGAAATTGCTAAGATATTGGGGTGTGATCAAAGACCCACCAAAAATTGTGCTGCAAATAGTCAATAGGGTCACAAGAAACACTTTGAGAAAAAAAATTTGAGACACAAATTAATTGCAAAAGATTTGAGAAAAAATAATTTTGAACATACCAGGAAGCCATTATCCTCCAATGCTGTCATATTCCAGAACTGTAATCTACCTGGAGTGCCTAGAAGTACAAGGTGTTCAGTGCTCAGAGAAATGGCCAAGGTGAGATAGGCTGAAACCTGACCACCACTGCACAAGACACATCAGCCGAAACGTCAAGACTGGGACAATAAATATCTGAAGACAGATTTTAAAAAGGTTTTATGGACTGATGAGTTGAGAGTGATTCTTGATGGACCAGGTCTGTGGGCCTGTCGCTGGATCAGTGACTGACACAGAGCTCCACTTCAACTCAGACGCCAACAAGGTGGAGGTAGGGTTCTAGTATGGTCTGGTATTATTACAGTAATATAGATTTCTAAAAATATTTTTATTTTAGAATTAGGTCAGCAATGGCAGTCACTATGTTTCTCTCATTACTTGCAAGTGCATTAATGGCATGAGATTGAAACCCTTGTGGACATTCAGCAAGAAAAAAAAATCTTATTCTTTAACAGAATACAAAATTTTTCATGCGGTTGAGCTCTCTGGAATAAATCCCCCAATCATTGAATGGGTATTTTTCCTATTAACTGTTTAATAATAAAAAAGTGACTTTATAATAAAAGGTATCTTTACAAATGGAAATTTTTACAATGTTATAAAGCAAAGTGAACTAATATTGTCTTGTTATTGCAATAGATACAGTGCTCAGCAGAAATGAGTACACCCCAACAGATTTGTCAGAAATCCTTTACTTTCCTTTCAGAATCCACATTTGCTATGGGACACTATACTACAAAATACTCCCACAAATGCCGGCCATTGATTGCAAACAAGATTTGTTAATTTGCACACACAAAAAAAGTATTTTTCCTAATGAATTCATTCAAGACCATGTTGCAAAAATTAATACACCCCAATGAAAGTCTTTGGAGCAAAGCCATATTTTAGACAACAAAATCCTAATGAATAAATAATTTGCGCTAGTAAATGTGTATAAATATATAAATATATATGAAGAAATCATCAAATCATAAGTCCAGAAAAAAAAATATATATGCCAATACCACAAAAAAATATAAAAAAACTTTTAAGTGCAAAAAACTTTTGTGCAAAAAAAGTGTCTAAATATGAAAAATTTCACCAAAAAACCTTGATAATATAATGGCAGATCATCCATAAATATATCTTCAGAAACGGAAACTCTGCAACACACCGATCCTCATCGATCGAAATAACAGGATGAAAAACTTTGTAGTTAATCGAAAATCCACTTCTCCAATAGATAAAGGACCACCTTCAAACGTATCCATGGGGGGAAATGCCAAGCACTCGAGAGAAACAGAAAGACTTCATGGTGCAATATTATAAAAACCAATTCCTTTATTAGGTACTCATTGCACTTACTCAAGAGGTGTCCCAGCCGACACCAGCATCAACAGCATAACAGCAATCACATAAACGAGCCTGGCTACTCAGCACATGCGCAGTAGCTGGCAGCCAAAAACGTAATGACGTCACATCAATCAAGCTCCGCCCTACGCGTTTCGTCATCGACGTCCTCACGGAGCGGATGTATCAGCTCCGTGAGGACGTCGATGACGAAACGCTGAGTAGCCAGGCTCGTTTATGTGATTGCTGTTATGAAGTCTTTCTGTTTCTCTCGAGTGCTTGGCATTTCCCCCCATGGATACGTTTGAAGGTGGTCCTTTATCTATTGGAGAAGTGGATTTTCGATTAACTACAAAGTTTTTCATCCTGTTATTTCGATCGATGAGGATCGGTGTGTTGCAGAGTTTCCGTTTCTGAAGATATATTTATGGATGATCTGCCATTATATTATCAAGGTTTTTTGGTGAAATTTTTCATATTTAGACACTTTTTTTGCACAAAAGTTTTTTGCACTTAAAAGTTTTTTTATATTTTTTTGTGGTATTGGCATATATATATTTTTTTCTGGACTTATGATTTGATGATTTCTTCATATATATTTATATATTTATACACATTTACTAGCGCAAATTATTTATTTATTGGTACACTTTATATATGGTGATTTTTTGCAGCTGGTACACTATTAGTAAATTTTGACCATAGGCGCTATTATTAATTTTTCTTAAAATCCTAATGAACAAGAATTAAACTACAGGTGAATCTAATTATTCATTAAACAGGTGTCCAGCAGACAGTTGATTATAAAAGGGCGTTACTTAACAAAGAATCCCCTCCCATTTCATGCTGTCAGCAATGGCACCACATGGAAGAGAAATGTCACAAGGCCTGAGAAAGAAAATAATTTCTTTACACAAGAAAGGTGAAGGCTACAAGAAGATCAGCAAAGCTCTACTTATCAGTCAGAATACTGTAGCAAAGTAATACAAAAATGTAATGAAGATGGAACTGCAACCATCTCACAGAGACATCCAGGCCTTCCATGGAAGTTAACACCTCGACAGGAGTATCTTCTGATGAGAAGGGTTCAAGAAAATCACCATGCAAGTTCACTGCAGTTACCTAAAAAAGTAGAAAGCCAAACTAAGATGACTGTTTCCCGTGACACAATACAACGTACACTGCAGAGGAATGGCATGCATGGATGTCATCCACGAAGGAAGCCTCTCCTAAAGCCCATGCACAAAAAAGCCCAGCTACAATTTGCCAGGGCCCATGCTGAAAAATAAGAAGACTTATGGGACTATATACTCTGGAGTGATGAGACCAAGATACATTTTTTTTAACTGATGGCTTCAAAATTGTATGGCGCCTCAAAGGTGAGGAGTACAAAGAAAAATACATGGTGCCTACACTGAAACATGGTGGTGGCAGTGTCCTTCTGTGGGGCTGCATGAGTGCTGCTGGTGTCGAGGAGCTGCATTTCATTGATAGTGTCATGA